CTAATAGGGACATCGGCATCTCAGAGACTAAGTATTAACACCAAAACAGGTCGCGCGTGTGCAGTAATCCAGGCAAGAAACAGATCAGGCATATGGTTAGTTCGGCAAATACGGTCAGTTCGGGAGAAAAAACAACCAACACTTAACCAAAAGAGACTCCATTTCAAAATAAGGGAGTGTACATTTTGAACAAAAAAAAATACATATCGAGCTCACAGGCCCGGAGGTGCTTATTCTTCATCAGAAGGCACTTTGACAACACCCGAAGGTCCTGCCTCGCCCTCGGAATCCGGCTCACCATTAGCGGCGTCGGCCATCTCCCGAGTAATGCGCGAGGTGGATATCGCACTAATATCAAGCTCGGGGTATGTATTCCGAATCATCCACTGGCTTAGTTTAAAGCCCTTTTTGTACGAGTCCACCATCAGATCATCAAAGCGCGGCGAAGCGATGTACTCATCAACAACCTTCTTCTTGGCATCCTCAATGCCTTGGGAAAAAATCTGCGTCCTCTCCCTGATATCCTCTTGAAGATATTCAACCTGATGCTGCAAGTCCAGCCTCAGGTCCGCCATATCCTTCACCACAACTCCCATGGCATGAGTGGCAGCCCTGGCCTGTGCAGCGCGAGCAGCTGCCTCTGCAGCTCGGGAAGCCACCTCGGCAGCACGGAAGGCCTCTTCGGCAGCTCGCGCCTGCCTCGAGCTCCTTTCCACCAGGGCTGCCAAGGCATGGATTGAAGAATTCACCTACCAAAAGGGGAAGAACAAAATGATCAAAGGAACGACAGAAGGATAAAAGCAAAGAGCCGGACAAGAAATCTGACTTACCACCATGGCATGAGTGGCAGCACGACAAGCTACCTGGTTCAAAGGAAGCTCGGACCATGCCGCGACCTCCTCAGGATAGATGGCCTCCCTACTCTTCTGAAGAGCATGGTTCGGTGACAACACGCTCCTGAACTCGCCTTGGGCCCCCGAGCCTGAGGGCCCAGCTCGCGTGTAAGCGAACTTAGAGTAAGCAAGAGCCCCCGTATAAGTAGCTTTGGCATAAGGAGCCCCTGTCGCCACATGAACTGGAGGGGCCATCTCGGGCTCCCTAGGCGGATCCATAGACGGGTAGTCTGGTACTTTGGGCTCCGCGTCTCGGGGCACCTCGGCACGAGTTCGTTTGGCGACCCGCTTCCTCCTCTTCATGCCGTGAAACAAGTGCCCATCGCGAGTCCTCTCTAAGTCCATCACACCTGCAAAATGAGTTCGGCTTCAGGAAAAAGCGAAAGAACAAAGCAAAACAAAAGACAAACCTGAGTAAGGAACCTACCCGAACTCAAACCGGCCTCAATGAGCTTGGCCTTCGACAGATAAAGATGGCATTTTAGCCCAAGCCGTGCCCATTGCCGGAGGCCCTTCTTCGTCTCTTTATCAGGCATAACACCGGAGTTAGGGGCGGCCATTCCCCACCCGGTTTGAAACGGCCACCCCAATACACTTCACACCCCGAAGTAGTACCGCTTCCACGCCGGGACCTTGTTGGGAAGTTCATGTAAAAGCTTAAAACCCGGGCGGGGAGACAGGTAATACGCCCGCCTACGCCCGGGAAGGAGACCCGCTTACTTCTTAAGAATTAGGATGGAAGAGAAGATCTCCAAGTCTAAAGGAAAGCCCTGTTCGTAAAATAGGGAGATTGTCCCCACCAAGTTACGAAAGGAGTTCGGGTGAAGCTGGCCGACAGTAACGCCGAAGTGGTTCATGACCTCGACAAGGAGGGGATGGAAAGGCAGTCGCAGCCCTGCAGCGAGCTGCTCCCGGAATATCACGATCTCTTCAGTACCGTGTTCCCAAGGAAAGCTACCCGAAGGTATGAAGTAGGCGTACTCCCCAGGCAAGTTGTAATAGGTAATAAGGGATTGGAGGCCCTCAGGCGTCATGGTCGAGGGACCGAACTTGTCTAACGTCCGACCTCAACGAGAGGTGGACGCCAAACTACCTGAGGCGACTTGGGCTACGGGTTCGAACTCTTCCTCGAGCTCTACCTCCGGTTCGCTAGGACCATCAGAGGATGCAACTCGGTTCGTAGAACCTGCATCTGACCCCCTTGAAGAACCGTTTGAGCTATCCGAGCTAGACATCAGGGAGAGAAGATGGATTCCAGGAAAGTACTCACTCGGAAAAATGCTTGAACGGATTACGGGAACTTGAACACAAGCAAAAGACCTTGAAGGCGAACTAAAGGCTTGGACGTGAGCTCAAGAAGCAAAGCGCAGAAGTGACAAAAGCAACTGGGGTCCCCCACTATTTATACCCACAGTAACCAAGAGTCAATGGCTCAGATCAAAGCCAATCCGACGGCCCGCAGTCGCGTTGATCGCACGTCTCCTGAGACCAAGATGTGACTGGCCACACGTCTCTCGAAACTGACCGCACGTCTCCTCACATTAAAGGCGGCAGCGGCACGTTTTCAATTTTGAAAAGATGTCCGCTGTCGCATCTCCTAGCGGCACCCTTTTTTGAATTTTGAAATAAAGCGCGCGCTGTCACGTCTCCCAGCGGCGCGCTTTTTGAATTTTGAAAT